GATGAAAAGACAAGCAGAGGGGAGGGGAAAGAGAAGGAGAGCTTCCAGACATAAAGGAATTTACATTCTATAGCAAGAGTGCACATGCACACAGTAAGGCCAACAGCCCCTCTCTTTGTTTTAATAACAACTAGCATTTACATGGTATTTGAAAAATGTAGAGTTTCTCATTAGGTCCTCACAACAACCTTGGTAGCTAGGTACTATCATTATCCCTGTGTTACAGATGAAGAAACTGTGTCAGACAGAAGTGACTTTCCCAGTGTCACTGAGCCAGTAAACGTGTGAGGCAGAATTGGAACTCACATCTTCCTGACTCTATGTCCAGGACTCTTAGTAACTGCATCACCTGAGGCCCAGAGTTATTAAGTGACTTGTCCACAATAAAGTTGGAATTAGAACCCAGTCCTTTGGCCCTCAAATATAGTGCTCTCCACCCCGCCCCAGGTTTAATTGGATTGCTTCATTTGACCAGCAGCAATTCTTTTGCAGCCATGCCATTTTTTGTCTAATTGGCATTAAAGAAGATGAAACCCTCTCGAGCCAGACTTCAAACACAAAAAATCTAGATCAAAGATATATTTGGCTTTCAGTGCTAATCTTTACATCAGTTTGGTCTCTGCTGACTTGTTACCCTTTGAAGAAAATTTAGCAACTACTTATTTTAAACAGATGACTGTTCTCTAACCCCAAACATGGTACAGAAGCTTAGCAGATGGCCGGCCACTGGATATAGACAATTTTGTATTTGCCCACAGGATGATATAGGGTATAATTTTTATTGACATGGTTGAGATACAATATACCCCTTATTTTCCCCAAAATATAGTCTGAAGACATCTTGTAACCTCTAATCCATAAGCCATGGCAAGTGACATTACTGAACCCCAGGTCAGTGTTGCTTGATATGAAAATACATGAAGCCTGCTCCACCACCATCCCAAATACCAACAGCCAGGGTGGAGAGAGAGAGAAAGAGAGAGAGAGAGAGAATCTAAAAGACCTTCAGAGCTTTGAATGGAGCTTTGTCCTTTATTGAATCCACCTAATAAAAGACAGATGATAAGAAAAGCTCTAGAAGGAATTTCACTCTTTTTCATCTCTTGAGAAAATGATATATCTCCCTTGCCTAGCAACAATTTCCCAGGTGGAGCCCAGGAAGGAGGATTGGGGCCGCAAGGAGGGAAAGAAATGGGAACCAGCTTTAGTTGCTGCATAAAAGTGAGCTTTATCCAAGGAGGATTGTCCACTGGTAAATAGTATTACCTGTAGCACTAGATGGATTGTGGTTGTGATCAATTTCCCCTCCAGCAGCATCAGAAACAGCTAGGATGGGAGACAGCCTGGATTTACTGGGATGAGGATATTTATGGAAGGAACACTTGATTCAAAGACTAAAAGTCAAGCTTTACAATGCCAGCTGCTATCTAGGTTTGTGGAGAATAGTGGTGATGCCCAGAACTCAATCATTTCTAGTTTTGTCATTACAGGAACCTCCAAACCAGTGTTCCCACCCACAGGTTATCCAAAGGTTTTATTTTTCTCCACAGAAATTCCCCTGGGGAAAGGATACTTATTCTGGGATGGAAATTAAGCATCCATCAGAAAAGTATCTGGACATATTGGGGGAATATAGCCAGTTCCCATTCTAAAATAAAGGTGTTAGGCTGAAAGATTAGGTCTAGAATAAGATCTATGCGATTTACCTGTTCAAGGATATTTGTTCAATTGTCTGGCATCTAAAGCTAAAGATTCCCTTCACAAATAGGAGCAAAGGCCCAGAAGAGCTCCTAAGTCCCTGGATAAGCTCCCTACCCCAAACTGAGTAAACAAATAAAGAGCATTCCAAATCAAATTAAGACTCACCAAGCAGTTCTGGAGAGGTTGCTTGATTAGAATTGGTGGGAAGTTTCTAGAGGTTTTGTTTTGTTTTGTTTTGTTTTGTTTTTAATGGCAGTAAAACAGCTTAGCTCTGAAAAGATTCAATCCTCAAGCCGCCTCTTTCGCCTTTTCTCCCTCCTCCTTTCCTCCCCTCTTCTCCCTCCTCCCCTTCCTCCCTTTCCTCCTCCTCCTCCTTCAGGATCTTTCCTATGCTTATGCTTCAGCTCATAGGTCACAAACCAACTAATCCCATCAACTCCTCAAACTGCTCTATCCTAGAAACTGGAGCCAAACAGTACAGGGAGAGCTGAGCCATCCATCAGAGACATCAGTTCATTATCTCTCTCCATGCTTTGCTGACTCTATCTTGACCACCACTTGGGCTGGGGGTGGGTGGGTTTACAATATTATCCTGGTGAGCAGAGGCATTGCTCCAAAAAAGGGGGTTAAAAAAATCTTAGCTAGCTAACCACAAACCCATTTCATCTGTAAAAATGCCTCTTGTGACCTTGACACACAATAGATTCCCAGTTAGTATTTAAATAGGCACATATGTCTATTGCAAACCTTGGTTCACTGAAAGATGATGGGAAAATGGCATTTATATTATCTCAGGATGTCAGCATTCAGGCAAGCTGAAACCCATCCTTGGATTCAACAACAATCCCTTAGATGAAACTGGGAAGAAAATATGTCCTTTCTGAAAGCCTTAGAGATGTTCTCAAAAACGATGCCAAAGTCCCATTCTCTAAAGTAAAACCCCCAATTTTCTCACTTAGCATGTACATTAGAAGTGTTGTTTCAAAACAAATAGACCCACCCAACATCCGAATGAATTACATGTCCCTCTACACACACACACACACACACACACACACACACACACACACACACACACACACACACACACACACACATACACACACACACACCACCACCACCACCACCACCACCACACCAGCTTTCTTTTCTCCTTGTAAAAATGCAGAGGTACATTGATCTAGCAGTTTAACAATCCTAAATAGAACTTCACTCCAAAGAACTTCCCAAGTGTAAGCAAAAATGCATGGATTACTGGCTAGGGGAATGTCAATCAGAAAAGACAAAATGGGAATGAGATGAAGGTTGGATAATCAGCTTCTTTCCCCAGATCCAGAACCTCTGGGACTTGGGGAGAGACCTCAGCCATTACGAGATAGAAAGTATAGCAACATCTAACAAAATAAACCATGAATTAGGATACTGTTTGATAATGAGGACAGAGGAAACAAGTAACTCCAGTGTGTCTCCTGCCCTGGACCAGCCCTCCCCAATGTCTGCCTCCTTATCTAGCAGCTCGCAGCAGTATTGATTCCTCTTCCAGCCAATACTCAATCCAATCGGCTTCATTATTTAACTCTTAGAAACCCAAGTGAGCGAATGAAATTCCTGCTTCAACCAGACCCCTGGGAGGGGCACTAGGCAGAGGAATGAGAAAAAAGGGAAGCTTCATATATATATACATATATATACATATATATATATATATATATATATATATGTGTGTGTGTGTATATATATATGTATATATATATATATATATATATATAATATATATATACAATTGTCATTATTATTATGGACATGATGGCATTTAAATAAATTCCGGGGGGGGGGGAGCCTGGATCTTCGAAAATGAAAAGAGCAGCTTGAATATCCTAGGAATTACCCCAACCCCTTTCTTTCCATTTTCTCAAAATCTCGCCCCAAATCAGAGTCTACCGTGGGTACAGTCCCCCTGCCCCCCACCCCGCTACCAGTTTGGTTTGGGCGGAGTGGGGGGAGGGAAGGACAGGGCAGTGTTTCCATCTCAGCATCCTTCCTCCTCGTGGTTTTTCTCCCCAAAGCGGGAGTGCAGTGCATCCCAGTGGACAAACCGCGGAAGGACAAGTTGGCTTGCATGCCTATGCCTCAGCCTCCGCCTCCGCCCCCGCCCTCCTCAGCCAGGGTTCGCACTCTCTCAGCCTGGCACAGAGGCGCGCGCCGGGCTCCGCACCGACGGGTTCCGAGGGCTGCCGGCTGCGGCCGCGTCCCTAGGCCCTACCCTTGGTGCTAGATGAGACTTGGCCTTTCCGGACCTGAGCCCTCCCCCACTGCGAGTGTCTAACACAGGAGAGCCGGACGCAGGCGGCTAGCCTTGCCACTGGGGTATATAGCACAAAGTTTGCCACGGAAGCAGAAACCAGCCGTGGCTCTGCTCGTAGGCAGCGGGGTCCTCCGCGCCCTGGCTAACTCCAGCGATCTCAGCGGAGGTCCCTGCCCTCACCTCCGCGGGTGTCCACGCAGGTGGATAAGTGGCTTGGGAATCACACGCCACTGCATGCCCGGCCCCTGCTTTCCCCTGCCCTATTCGTCTCCGGGGGATTGCATACACGTCTTACAGTGCTCACTCCTCTGCCTGATGGGTTCCGGGGGCCCACAGCTATGCGCACCCATGTGACCTAGGGCGGCTCCATGCCTCTGCTCCGAGTAAGGCTGGGCTACGAAAGGGTCCCCTGCTTAGGGTCTGGGGGCCGCCTAGGCAAGCGCTTGGTGGTCTGGTGTTGAATTTAGTAACTCCTTCCGGAGTGCGCTCCGGAGAGCTGGGAGCCCTGGCTTCTCAGCCCAGCTTGTTCCATCCCCCAGATCCCAGGGGCCGCGGGTAAGTGACCCTCCGGTAGGTGACACCGGACTAGCAGGAGAGGAGCCTGGCTGGGGCGGCCGGCCAGGACACTGCGCTGCCGACTGAGGGAGAATCGGGAGCTGCTACCTCAAGGGCTCTAGTTCGTCCTCGCCTCTGGCCGAGCCTGAGAGAGCAGCGAGTCCCCTAAGAACGGGGCTCAGATCTTCAGTGATCTGCTTTCCCCTCCTCCCCGTTTGGTGTGACATTAGGCAAGAAGCCCCCGGCGGACACTAGGAAGAAAGAAGGAAGACAGCAGAGCGATCTTCTGCCTAGTCTTTATGGATCGTTAATTAAAGTCCTGCCCAAGATCTCCCAAACGGACGCGCGCGCACACACCACACACACACACACACACACACACACACACACACACACAACACACACACACACACACACACACACACACCGGACTTCTCACCTGATTCCTAAGAGCTGTTTAATCCACATGGTCACGTTTCACAGAACCGAGCCTCAGACCTTCATCTCCCCGTCCATCGGCGCCTCCCGCCCCCCCACCCCCAGCACCCCGACCCGACTCGCTGCGAGTGTCCGCGCCCGCCGCGGTCCGTCTGGCGGCTCCGCTCCCTCGTCTAGCTCCCTGGGCTGCCGGGAGGTAGGATCAGAGAGTCGCCGCGCAGTGCTCCATCCCAGTCCTGGGCGCGTCTCAGCTGTTGGGAAGCCTAGACCAGGCAGAAGCGCCTATAAATGAAGACATAGCTGCATAGATTAGTTGGGGGCGAGAAAAGGGGTTTCTCTTCTCAAAACCACCACATTCCCTTCCCCGAAACGGTCCTGGGTTTGTCTGGGGGTTGTTTTTGGTTCTTTCAGTAGCTGACTGGAGAATGGGGAGGAGGTTCGGAGAGGCGAGGGAGACCCCACGTCCCTGAATCTATTTTAGCTCCGAAGTGGTCTCTAGGAGAGTCTGTAGTTTCTGAGGCGCCCACGGATCTTTCCTCCAAAGGAAAAGGAAAAAAAAAAAGAGGAAAGAGGGAGGGAGGGAAAAGGAGAAAAGGCAGCGGTCGGGAGAGATCTGCGTTTTGTTGTTCTGGGTTTCAGCCTGAGCCCCACGTAGAGAAGAGAGAGATGCGTGGCGGAGGGCGGAAGAAAGGACAAGAAGAGCTGGCTCCGGGAGTTCGCAGCTTTTCCTAAGGGGTGGGATCCCTCTCCCCTGGACCTAGGGAGTCTGCCAAGGCTGGGGAGCCCGATGCGCCTGCAAAAGTGGACGAAGAGAAGGACTTTGCTCGCGGACTGGTGAACAGTCGAGTTCGAGTCCGAGTGGAAGAGGGGAAAGAGGGGTTTGCAGACTGCAGAGTCCGCCCGTCGGGTAGAGGAGGCAGGTTTCCCAGCACCGCTCCAAGGGGCTCAAGTTTCCCGGTCTGTCCGAGGGTGAGCTCTCCACAGTCTAAGGCTGTGGGGAGGCTGGGAAGGAGGCGGGGAGAGGGAGGTGCGCTCCGAGCTGAAGTTGCGTTGCGAGAGGAAGGAGGAGAGCCGGGAGCGGGGAGGGGGAGGGGGGCTTTTCCCCAGAGAAAGGAGCGGAGATTCCCGGGGCTCTGAGCGGCTCGGGCAGCGTCAGCCCCAGTGAGCCGCCCTAGCCTCTCTTCCTCCTTTTCTCCGCCTTTTGCTCTTTCTGGATCCAACCTCCTCCTACCTCCCCCAAGCAGGTCCCAACTCCGCCTGCTCCAACCCAGTCTCGCGTCACTCGACCTTCCCCCGCCCCCTTGACAGGAGGCTGAGACCCCTGCCCGGCTCTTGGTCCCCACCCTCTCTTCTGTCCTCCTGGACCCTGGGGAACAGGGTTATTTGCATCGTCCGAGCGCTCCTGCCAGACGGGTCCCCCTCCCGCCCCCTTCCTCATTCCTGTCCTCGTTCCCCCACGTCCCCACCTTGGGCACTGCTTTGGAGATACGGAAGATTCCGATTGGACCGTCTGGCTCCGCCGGATGGTGTTGCCACGGTAACCGGATGGAACGTGGAAGAGCTTGAGGTTCCGACCCGGTTCCCGGGCGGGCAGTGGACTAAACAGGCGACACAGGGATGTTGATGTGTTTGGGGAAGGTGAGGTTAAGGGGGTCTTCAGGATAACAGAGGAGACAGGGCCAGGGAAAAGTTTCCTTTACCCAGAACAGGGCATCCCCTAGTAGGATCCCATACACAGCCGGCTGAGGAAGGAAGGTGTTATCTCTTTCTTAGCTTTTTTTGTCTTTGGGGTCTCTTGCCAGGCCCTATACCTATCCTCAACCAAATACTCCAGAGGATGGAGCCCGACGCCCTCCACAAGCCCCATGATCCCCAGCCACCACCCTGGAGTGCTCTGAATTAGCATTCAGCTAAGGGCCCTCAAAGTCGAGGATTTCAACTGTACTAGATAGATGGATAGATAGAGAGGCAGATAGATAGATAGATAGATAGATAGATAGATAGATAGATAGATAGATAGACAGACAGACAGACAGATTCCAGTGGTTCTTAGTCTCCAACTCCTTATAGGCCACCACTCCTTTGTCTTTGCCTTGTCCTGAAGCATGAACTATCCTTTGCTCACAAATCAGTTAAAAAAGAGGAGAGAGGTGTGACTGGGAATGATAGTGCTTTTGTTGAGAAAGACATGACATACACAGCAAAACCCCCAGTGGCAGGTTTGCTGAGTCCTGGTTCCACCCTCTGATGCTTTGTACAACCTTGGATAAGTTCCTTGTCTCAATTTCTTTCACCTCCACTCTTTGTCTGAAATGAACACAAATCCAAGCCTCTGGCTGTTTGCAAAGACATCTTTGAGACCACTGTAATGCCAGGTAATAAGTGATCATCTCATGATGATTTATTCCCTCTTACCAGGAAGGTTTTGCATTGTTATAGGGTTGCCATTAACTTGGGGACTATGGGAGTGAGACTGGTTCAAGTGCTTGGCCCACCCCACACTTAGAAGGACTGAACAAATACATGAGTTGAAACATCTAAAACCCAAATCTAAGGCAAGTCCCTAGCTGGCAACAATACCCTTTACTCACATGGCAGGGGCAGGGGCTGCCTTTGGAAATAGCAAGTATGTGCTATAAATAACAGGTAATTGGAAAATATAGGAATACAATGAAATCCCTTTCCCCTCCTTGAATCCTTGTGTGGTAGAGTGGAAACTGTCAGACTGGAGAGATCTGGGTCTGAGCCACAAATCCTGCCTTGAGTGAGCCATGGCAAGTCAATTTAGCTTCTGAGCCTCAGTTTCTTCATCTGTAAAATAGGTATAATAATAACTGTAGTACCTGTTTCACGTGGTTGTTGTGAGACTAAAATGGGATAATGTGGATTACAGCACTTTCTAAACCTCAAAAAAATTATACGACTGTCAGCTATTATTATGAAACAGAGCTGCAAAAAAAGAAAAAGAAAATAAGGGAGGGGGGTGGAATCTGGATCTGAAGGCAAAAAGAGACTCTGCAAACAGCTATTGCCATAGAAAAAAGGACTTTCCTAGCATGAGAAGGGCTCATGGTCATACTGCTATGCACTGTGTTTTGCAAACCTTAAAGTGCTATATAAATACTAGCTGTTTTAGTCCACCTCCAGACTCAATTCCCCAGTTCCTCCCACCAAGCCATCTTCATCAAAACATAAAAATATAACCAATAGGGATGGGTCCCTACTGCCAAATCTGATCCCCTTTCCACCCAATATCCTCATGTTAGCTCTGCAGGAAAGGCCCTCTTTTCTTCATCTCAACAGGAAGTGGGGAGTGGTGGATAGGTCATTAGATTTAGATCCAGGAAGATATGAGTTCAAATTGAATTTCAGTTACTTTGCTAGCTGGCTGATCCTGGGAAATTATTTAACCTCTTTGCCTCAACTACCTAAGATCTATAAGATTCAGGTTGTGGGGGTGGGGTATCTAGGATCCCATACAGCTCCAAATCTACGACATTCCTATTTTTCTTTGGCTGTTTCATGTTCTTTTTAGAGATAACTATTTTAAAAGTCGATCCAAATCCCAAATGATCCACCATCTTGTAATTTTTCTCCCAAGAAAATAAATTTGTCTTTAAGAAGACAGTTTATTTGCAAGATCAAGTTTGCATTTTGCAAACAACAGAAGGTGTTAGAGTTGTTATTGTTTTCTAGAATGAACATACTGACCCAAGGAGTTGGCTGGTAGGGTGTGGCATAATTCAGTTATTCTTCCCTACTGTAATAGATGAGTGAGAGAGGTGGTAATATTTTCCCCTTTTGGCATCTGGGTCTTCACTGAGCTCTTCCACAGGTGACCTTGATGCACAGCTGCAAACCCCAGCCGAGTGCATGAAGAAGCTCTAGTTTAAATGGCATTTTGAGGAATAGGCAAAACTACAGGCTGGCTTTGCAAGCAACCCGAGTGACTCATGTGACATCCATTGCAACAGTTGTAATACACAGAGGAAACACTCGATGCTTCCACTACCCATCAGAGAACTTGCTCGTTAACAACAAAAAGGGATTGGTCTCTTCTGCTACCAGGGACTGCCTGTGTTCTGTCATGGGATAAGTGGATAGAGAGAGCCACCTTCTTTGAGAATAGGCAAGCAACTAGTTTGTGCATCTGTGGTCCCAGGGCACCCCTTGGGCGAGACAGGGCTAAACCTAGAAGGTACACCCCTGGAGACTGGTAGAAGGCAGGGTATATTGACTTAGAATTTCTGTTCTATTTATTACCCCACCAGTATGGCAAATTTGTGTTTATGAGCGCAAAGAGCTCTGTTTCTGACAGCTGAGCAACTGATCACATGACCGCAGGCTAGCAGAAAGTGCCCAGGGCCTAGAGGATGACAGTAAACTTCTCAAGGCTGCCCTAGCCACTGGTTTTGGCCAAACACACAAGGCTTTACCAGGGCCTAGCATTCTTCTTGGAAAATAACAACTCTCATTTCTATAATTCTCTATTGCTTATGAAATTCCTTCTTCACAGGAACCTCCAAAATGGATACCATAAATACTATTGGCCTCATTTTGTAGATGAGGGAACTGAGATTTAACAAAGATGAAGTGACATCAATGAAAGTTTCAAAATGGGAATGCCAACTTAGGTCATCACTCAATCTTCTTTCTCATATATCCCTAATCCTAAGAAGGAAGAACGTGGTTAATACCAAGAATCTGCCCTGGGTAGACATTCTATTCAGTGCCTTTCCTTATGGGGCTTCATGAGGCAACTTTTCTTGAGGTCAGAAGGTTTGGGTTTTAGTTCCTTCAGAAATGTGCCCTGTATGGTTTAGGTATTTAGTAAATGCCTTTGATTAAAAGGAATGAAATTTTAATTTAGCATTTGGTATTCAAAAAATTGGGGCAGAGTGGATACTGCATTAGAAATCACAAGGTCATTCCTTCATTCAGTTCAATAGATATTTTAACTATTTACTGTGCATGAAACCGTATGTTGGGCTCGGTTGTGGAATACAAAAACAAATAAGGTATGGATCTTTGCCCTCAATGAGCTAACAGTTTGAGAGTGGAGAAATGAAGCCT